ACAAACAATTCTGTGCATGTCATAGCACACACTTTTCTTTCTCTACCTAGCGCAGCGATCGACATGCCATAGCTTATAAGTATACTGAGCGCTCTGGGACCACATGCGTGTTTCAGCCATATACGAACAGCGGTAGCGGAGCACTGATTTCCGCGCACAACGCAATGGTCGGCATACTAGCACATTCAAACGATTCAATAAGTNAGGATTTTTTTGAAAATTCGTAAAGAATTATGCTATTATCGCGCGACCGTTAACAAACCTCACGCGAAAAGAAGCAGCTACAAAATTTTATTGGGGGGAAGAACAAGATATTGCTTTCCATACTTTGATAACTGCATTGAGTAATGAACCAGTGCTCACTCTGTACGATTTTAATGCAATACACGAAGTGCATACTGATGCTAGCGGTGTTGGTCTAGCTGCAGTGTTACTCCAATCAACTGACGATGGGAAAACTTGGAAAGCGGTTATTTATTTTAGTCGACGGTGTACAGAAACAGAGTCTCGCTATCATGCCTATGAGTTAGAAGTANGTTGTATAAGGTGTACACTGAGAAAAGAGTTTAGTTACGTCAACTAAATATGTTTTTCTCANGCAAGATTTAGGGTATACATTCTGGGCAAGCATTTCAAGGTGGTAACCGATTGCTCNCTTTTTTCTGAGTGTACAACGAAAAACGTCTTTATGTGGTACCAAAAGCAGTACGATGGCGNGTCGAACAGGCGTACGCATGTCCCACGTTGACGCGCTTAGCAGAGCGCCTATTGAACAGTCTTCAGAGGTGTTGCTGGTTACTACAAGTTCCGATGATTGGTTGCTGACTATGCAGCTACAAGATGGTAAGATACGTGAAATCATTAATGTACTAAAAGGCAAAGCCGAATCGAAGCAAGCAACACAACTGAACAGCGAATATCGAATACAGAACAATAGGTTGTATAAGGTGTACAACGAAAAACGTCTTTATGTGGTACCAAAAGCAGTACGATGGCGGGTCGTGAAATATTGTCATGACGACATGGGGCACTTTGGTGTCGATAAAACTTTACAACGTATCTATGAGCATTTCTGGTTCCCTAAAGCGCGAAAGTATGTCAGNGTGGGGCACTTTGGTGTAGATAAAACTTTACAACGTATCTATGAGCATTTCTGGTTCCTTAAAGCGCGAAAGTATGTCAGGGAATACATCGCAGCGTGCATTGACTGTTGTTACAACAAAGGCAAAGGGGGCAAGCCAGAAGGCGAACTACATTTCAGCGAGGTGGAGCCTGTTCCATTTCGTACGCTTCATATCGACCATTTGGGTCCATTTACGCGAAGCAAAAGAGGTAATCTATATGCTTTAGTCATAAGCGATGCATTTACGAAATACCTGATGGTAAAACCTGTGCGCAACACAAAGACTCATCCGGTGTTGCAGGTACTCCACGAGCTGACATGTTATTTTGGATTACCAAGCCGTATAATAAGTGATCGTGGTACGGCCTTCACGTCGAAACAATTCACTGAATTCTGTCAGCAAAACGATATTCAACATATTAGAACTGCAGTGAGAACTCCACGTGCAAACGGACAAGTGGAGAGAGCCAACAAAATTATTTTAGATTTTCTCCGTACATCTGGTGTCCAGGCAAAACAATGGGATGACCAACTACGAGAATTACAATGGAGCGTAAACTCCCAACGTAATGCNCTCTGTACATCTGGTGTCCAGCCAAAACAATGGGATGACCAACTACGAGAATTACAATGGAGCGTAAACTCCCAACGTAATGCTAGTACTGTATTTAGTCCAAATGAACTAATTTACGATTTCAAGTTGCGTGACGTCATTCGCAACCGACTTTTAGCAGCAGCAACTCATGACTATCGATGATAGTATAGCAGATAAACGCGAGAAAGCTTTACAGTGTATGCAAAAACAGCGAGAGAAGTGGAAGAAACGATTCGACGCAAAGCATCGAAAGCCTATGGTGTATCAGGTGGACGATTTAGTAGTCATCGAGAACGACTTGCAAGCAACGGGCGAATCGCGAAAACTCGACATACGTTACCGAGGTCCATACGTGGTAACCAAAGTTTTGGGTAACGATAGATACCTGANGCAACGGGCGAATCGCGTAAACTCGACATACGTTACCGAGGTCCATACGTGGTAACCAAAGTTTTGGGTAACGATAGATACCTGATCGAAGACATCGATGGTATGCAACACAAGCAAAAACGGTTCTGTTCAGTATATGCATCGGATAAAATTAAACCAGGGTGCATAATACAGCCCGAACTAGATGAACATGATTCCGACGAAGATGAAAGCAGTGACATCGAGACGATGTTAATGTCAGAATTGGCCGAACTGTCACGTACGACTTCATGCAACCCTGCCACCAGCGAATAGTAGACAAGAGAAGATGAAACAAGCAGCAGTTAGCGACCGAAGCTGAACATATACAGACGTGTGTGACCATTTCACTGAGCGGATACTTTTCCATTATTTTTGAATATTAATACATACTTTGAATAAATACTAAATTACAATACTTGCCCCTTGACAGGGCCAGCCTACCACCATTGGTGTTTTATTTATATTTTAAATAAACTCGACCATCCTGTGACACTCGTTAATAGCGTCTAACACCCTACCGCTCAAACCAGCACATTTTATATGGGCAATCCCATCGCAGAGCCAGCATGACACATAGGAGTCGCTTTTAACATGGCAATTGGTGTAAATACACGACATGTTTAAAATTATATGTAATTTTTAGGTTTTAGAAACAAAAACAGTTTTGAAAACGATGTATCAAACAGAGAACCAATCAGATGGTAAATGTCAGTTGGAAAGCTATGTAGCGAACAGTTTTAAATACACTGTATATTTGACACCTAATAAACACAACGCAAACAGCTGTGACAAAGATGAAACAGCAGAAATGACAAAAAGAGCAAAATCAATGTGCACAAACAAAAACAATTGTACAACAACAATATATTATATGAAACAAAATACTCGGCACATGCAATTAAGAATATCAAGTTAAATGAATCAAATTTACAGGAAATTTTGATATCTTACTTATCTTTAAACTGTGCACCAGAAGTTTATTAACACTTTTTTTAATTTCTTTACTTTATTGAGCGTAAACAGCTTTATAAAACACAAAATTTAAGCAGATCACAAAAAACACAGCTTCACAGCTTGACAAAATTTGAACTTTTTTTCAAAGTAGCCTCACAGGCGAACGTTAGTATTAAAGGAATAAAAAATAAGGTTAGTATTCTAGGGATATAAGTATTTGTGGAAGTATGTATGTATGTACGTATATGCCAGGTTTAATCAGCCATTACTTCGGAACTATAAGTCACTTGAACTTGAAACTTGGTATGCAATCATATATATGGTAGGTGCTTATAGTATTGTATAAATAAATGAGTTTGTAGAAGTGGGCGTAGCACATCCAATAGGCGTGGAATATTTTATCAGCTATAAATCCGAAACTATAAGCCACATGAACTTGAAATTTGGTATGCAGACAAAACTATGGTAGGTGCTTACAGTAAGTTATATATAAATGGGTTGGTAAAAGGAGGCGTGGCACATCCCAGTTGAACTTGAAATTTGTTATTCAGTCGTACATATTGTAGGTGCTTATAGTAGGGTATATATAAATGAGTGTGAAAGTGGGCGTGGCACATCCCATAGGAATATTTTATCAGCTATAACTCCGGAACTATAAGCCACATGAACTTGTAATTTGGTATGCAATCATATATATGGTAGGTGCTTATAGTATGGTATAAATTAATGAGTTTGTAGAAGTGGGCGTGGCACATCCCATAGGAATATTTTATCAGCTATAACTCCGGAACTATAAGCCACATGAACTTGTAATTTGGTATGCAATCATATATATGGTAGGTGCTTATAGTATGGTATAAATTAATGAGTTTGTAGAAGTGGGCGTGGCACATCCAATAGGCGTGGAATATTTTACCAGCTATAACTCCAGAACTATAAGCCACATGAACTTGTAATTTGGTATGCAATCATATATATGGTAGGTGCTTATAGTATGGTATAAATTAATGAGTTTGTAGAAGTGGGCGTGGCACATCCAATAGGCGTGGAATATTTTACCAGCTATAACTCCAGAACTATAAGCCACATGAACTTGAAATTTGGTATGCCGACATAACTATGGTAGGTGCTTACAGTAAGGTATATATAAATGGGTAGGTAAAAAGAGGCGTGGCACATCCCATAGGCGTGGAAATTTTTATCAGCTATAATTTCACAACCATCAGTCACATGAAATTGAAATTAGGTATGCAGACACACTTGCGGTAGGTGCTTACAGTAGGCTATATATCAATGAGTTTACAAAAGGAGGCGTGGCACATCCCATAGGCGTGGAAAATTAGGAATCATATGTCACGTGCAATTGAAATTTGGTACGCAGACGTACCTATAGTAGTTGCTTATAGTAGGCTATATATAAGTGAGTTGTAGAAGGGGCAGCGGCACGTCCCATACTAACTAAAATTTTCGTTTTGTATATATCTTAAATTAGCGGTAGAGTACTAGAACTTCGTGGTGAGATAAATGAAATTAATTCCATGCTCATGGGAAAAAATGGGCGGAATTGGAAAAGGGGGCGTGGTACCTCCCATAGGCGTAAAATATAAAATATTTAATCAGCTATAGCTTCGGAGCCGTAAGTCACATGAACTGGAAATTAGGTATGCAGAGATATCTACGGTAGGTGCTTTTAGTAAGGTATGTATATAAATGAGTCTGTAAAAGGGGGCGTGGCACATCCAAAAGGCGTGGAATTTTTAATCAGCTATAACTGCGGAACCATAAGTCACATAAACGTGAAACTTGGTATGCAGACATATCTATGGTACATAGGTGCTTATAGTAAGGTATACATAAATGACTTTGTAAAAGGGGGTGTGGCACATTTCATAGGCGTGAAATTTTGAATCAGCCATAACTTCGGAACGATAAGTCACATGAACTTGAAATTTGGTATGCAGTCATACCTATGGTAGGTGCTTATAGTAAGGTATACATAAATGACTTTGTAAAAGGGGGTGTGGCACATTTCATAGGCGTGAAATTTTGAATCAGCCATAACTTCGGAACGATAAGTCACATGAACTTGAAATTTGGTATGCAGTCATACCTATGGTAGGTGCTTATAGTAAGTTTATAAAAGGGGGGCGTGGATCATCTTATAGGCGTGGAATATTTAATCAGCCATAACTTCTGAAAAATCACGCAAACTTGAAATTTGGTATACAGACATCTATGGTACATAGGTTCTTATAGTAAGGTATGTTTATATAAATGAGTTTGTAAAAGGGGGCGTAGCGCATAACACAGGCGTTGAATTTTGTATCAGCCTTAACTTCGGATCCACAATTTATGTGTCCCCTTTAATTCTTTCTGATATGCCTTTCGAATTTACAGAACTCGGTTTCCAGTTCGCTTAGCTTTTGCAATGACAATAAACAAGAATTCCTTAAAGCAAAACCCAAATTTTTATTGAAAATAAAATCTATGATAATTGCATTGGAAAACACATTTATGTTAATAGAGGCTTTGAAGTATTAAAAACATGCTGTGTGTATAAGAGTTATTATTCCAAACAAATAAGTTAGCTAAAGTTTTAATATCACAACCAGGGACGTGAACCGGTTTTGAACCGGAAAACCGCTTTTTTCTATTAATTAACTGAACCATTAACCAAACCGAAATTTTGCACAAATGTTTGAATTAACCGAAAACCGAATCAGTTTCCATAAAGGTTTAAAGGTTCGTTTCAACCAATTTTTAATAGATCAATGTACCCACTTTTTTTCTTTTTGTTAAGCATGGTAATACCTACCATGTGACAATATCAATTGTAAAGGCAACCCATCTCATTTTACAGACACTTGACCCTTAACCTTGCTGCACTTGACACTTGACACTCGACACTTAAACTTGCGAAATCTTCGATAAATCAGTAAATATTAAAATTAATTTATTCAAAATTGATGTTTGCAACAATCCTTTACCAAGAAATACGTTTATGATAAAATATTGGAAAACGGGCGTTTCACCGCCCACTTATGATCACATATATGTATCTCGGTAACCGTTCTACCAATTAGTACCAAACTCGGTATGGTTATTGTGCTTGCCACATAAAAGCAAAACGTCGAAAATTATTGAAATCAGGCTAAAATTGAGGCCGCTTTTCATATAACGGTAAATTTCAGAAATGCTTGAAACTTCAATATTTCGAAATTTATGGACGCTAAATTACTCAAAATCGATGCACCCCGGTTGCGGTAGCTTTTGGAAAGGTATTTAATGTTCGGCTCCGCCCGAACTTAGACTTTTAGTTGTTTGTTTTTCCAACCGTTGAACCGAACCGAAGCCCCGGTTCAAAGACCAAAAAATCGCTTTGATGAACCAATCCAAAAGTGCAAAAACGGGTAGAACCGCTGAACCGAACCGATAAAATTTTTCATTCGGTTCACGTCCCTGATCACAACATTGATATTTCTACTATAACTTACATGCATATCGCTGCCAAAAATTGGATTTGCACACAAGCTTTTGGCTCAATTCTTATCCATTCGTCCTGAAATATACTTGCCAGAAATGCGATTGCTTTATAAAAAAAGAGAACCATTTTAAAATGTGAGTGTTTTCACTATCTAGAAAATAATTTATGCAGCCTCACATACGCGGTTTTACATTATCTTGATACGCGGTTTTGCATTTTGTTGATACGCGGTTTGTACTTTAAACGACGATATATTATTTATTGGAGATATTTTAATGTAAATAAAAACACCTGCTTTGCCAAAAAGTTATTATTACATTTCTTTACATAACACCCAAGCTATACAACTGTCCTCCAGTAATCTCCTATAGTAAAATTAGGGCTGAAATAAAATACAACATCTTTAAAAAAAGGCTTTTAAAGTTTTAAAAGCTAGTACATTATAAAAATCTACCCAATTGCCAAATTTCATCCGGATATCTCGAAAACTGAGTGACTGTATTGCATACAAACAGACGGGCATGGCTAAATCGGCTCAGCTCGACGTTTCGATCAAATAAGTGTGCATTTTAGTGGGTCTATCCCTTCTTATTCTGGTATTTACAAACATCGGACCAAAGTTATAATACCATTTCATGCTCATAAAAGGAATAAATATGGGTACCAAATATAGAGGAAATTTCTTTAGAAGTTAAAAAAATTAAAATTTTTTGGAGTCTCAAAGAAGAACAGGTATTTTTTTAAGCTGATAAGGTTAGAAGGACGAAATTCGAGGATGTTATCGAGTTTATATAAGTCCTTAACATATAATTTTTTCAAAAATAATTATTGCGAA